GATTGTCCCTCTCTTGAATGGGAACGAGTCGGCATCCTGTTTCTGTGTGAAAGAACTTCTTCCGGAACTCTTCCATTAGTTTCCTGGGTAATCCTCCTACGCAAAGACCCMGTCTACTTGTCTTGTGAACAGTGAATGCATGTATAGAGATGCRTGACTTTTCGGATTGATTAGATGAGTGTCGTCGGGATTTTGTTCGAGAATACAAGAGTGTTTRGATCTATGGTCCCGAATGCACTGCGCATGCCATCTGCCTTATGCGGCACGACATCAGCAGCCACGCCACCAGGCGACCTTGAGAAACAAGGCGCYGGAAACCAACGTTCTGTTGAATTGAGTCGCGGGTCGGTCCCTTAGCCCTATGCATGATCAAGYTGATGTGTGTYTGCTCCCTCATTTGTCAAGRAGGATAGATTGAGGGTCGCATGAATGATTTTTGTTCTTAATGACGTCTATGGATATATGTGATTGATTGATATGTGGACTGACAAGCACCCTTCGATTGGGCRCCCGCCTCCCGACGTCTCCCATCCCAACGCRAACTTTTCCCTACAGTGAGGAAAGGACACGTGTATGTGAGTGGGACGTACGAGAAGCCGTCGCACAAATCGGCGGGCAGTATCACTTCCCTCCGGCCAACCGTTGTTCTGGGTTCGTAGACGCCGGATTTGTCATTATCRATACGCACTTCCCACCCTACTCGATATTGTTGCCGTTTAACGAGCTGATCGTCATTCCGTGGACGGCAGTGGCGCCCCATTGGCCCCGCACTCTGTGCACGGAGTGCCAGCATTTCGATCGCTACGAAGCGAAGGGCTTCCACTACCGAATACAGAGTGAGGACGAGCATAAGGAAAGAGCCACTCGGCTGAGACCATCCACGTCGGATTCGGAACTGACCAGCGAACGACGACGAGATCTGATACGAAAACGAGACACGCGAAGCGTGCCAGAGCCTTTCCGTTCTAAACGACGGGCTGTAGCCCGGCAGTACTTTTTGGATTGAATTTGGATCTTTCTGTTTTCGCGCCATGTTCGCGCGCGCAGTCCGCGACGCGCGAAACTAATCGACTTGCTTCATCGGACCATCACGGGGGATTTCAGTTCCATCTGTCCCCACACTCGATTTCCAAAAATCCTTGCCACACCCCATCTTGCTGTTTTTTTGGGCCTCTTTCCGCACGTCTCACACTCCGAACGAAAGACAGCACAGGTCGTGAGGTTGCGCGTCACAAGTGCGCACCCCTCACCATACAAAGATAGATTAGCGGCAATAGCCACAACTAAGTATTACACTTCTATTGGCACCAGACGACTATCTTTCCTAAAAAGGTCAACCACAAATACATACCACTTCTCTCTTAGGAAGACATAGGGCCTCGCTCCACTACTTTCCACATGCACAAAAGACAAAAAGTATGTCGGGTATCTTCCCATGTCCTAGCGGAAGATTCATTCTGCAGACTTGGTGAGTACTGGGAGCGAGGCCCATACAATCTTTCACAACATCTGTAGATACACACCATCATATATTTTCCTCCCAGCTAGGAAAGTCCCATCTGTCCCTCTGCTTAAGCTTCAATGGGGTGCAAGGGCGTAGGAGGAGAAGGAGGAGGAGGGAATGGAGGACAAAGAGGAGGACGAGAACGACGAGGTGGGCCGGAGAAGATCAACAATGGGTGCAAAGTTTGGTTCGAGCCCAAGTGACAGGGAAAGTCACCTGTCCCTCTGCTTTACGCTTCAATGGGGTGCAAGGGGAGAGGAGGAGAAGGAGCAGGAGGAAGTGGGGATGGAGGACGGCGAGGACGACGAGGACGACGAGGACGACGAGGACGACAAGGACGACGCGGATGACGAGGAGGGAGAGGAGGGAGAGGAGGGAGAGGAAGGAGAGGAGGAGATCAACAATGAGTGCAAAGTTTGGTTCGAGTCCAAGTGACAGGGAGAAAGTGCCACCTGTCCCTCTGCTTCAGGCTTCAATGGGGTGCAAGGGGGCAGGGGGAGGGGGGGGGGAGAAGATCAACAATGAGCGCAACATTTGTTTCGCGTCCAAGTAACAAGGACAAGGGATAGAAAAGTAGACACACAGGTAGGCCAGTAGATAAACAGAGGCCAGTAGGTAAACAAGGCCGGCATACGGTAAACAGTAGAGAAGAGCAGAAAGGGTATTAGCACTGCTATAGGTGGAAGAGGACGAGGAGATAAACAGGCAATGGGTGGTAGCGCAGTTAAGCCACCCAAAAGAAAAATAGTTTTTACTTTTTGAAGGGGGAAAAAAACAAAAAAAAAGCTGAAGAAACGTACCAGAAGGGCAGCATCCGCCAACTTTTAGTTGTCCGCGAGATACGACAACTGCCAAACAATACGCGAGAAACACCGCAAATATCACCTGGACCGCGCTCAAGGCCACGCTGCCTTGGCTCCAAGCAAGCCAACGCTTGTACATGATCTATCAAATGGAAGATACAAAAGTATTTAAAACACAATACAATACAATACGCAAATGAAAAAAAAAAGCCAAAATTAGAAACAGCTTCAGATGTGCTTCCGGACATCCGTTGAAACTGGAACGATACAGAGAAAGAAGATTAGCATGCCCCCTGCGCAAGGATGAAAGAAGAGAAACAGCTTACACACACACACACACACACACACACACACACACACACACAACACACACACACACACACACAACACACAAACACACACACACACACACACACACACACACACACACACACACACACACACACACACACACACGTGGTGAGTCCTTATCCATCAGTGAAATGAATCCTGCAACCTCCTGATGAGTCGGTGAAAGTCCGACGAAACAGTCTGTTTGGCACAGTCATACTTTTTTTGAGTGTATAGCGAATATGACAACACACACACACACACACACACACACACACACACACACACACACACACTACAGCTTCTTTAACAATAGGCCCTCAGACTGAACGCTGCTACACATCATCCAGGTCGTTGATGCAACAAATCTACGGTCAACGTCTGCTGCAACAGACCTGGTGACATTGCCTGTCGCTAGAGCAGAATACCGGTCCCAAAGCCTAATTACCATATAGCATCACGAAGGTAACCATGAACTAACTCACCGAACCATGTAAAAAGCTGCTTCGTGCGTTGGTTTAGACAAGCAAACTAACCCCGACGTAACCCATAACCAACCCCCTGTTCAAAAACAACCATCAAAATCATCACCCACGCACGAAACTGGCTACCGAGCAGAGACCCATGTCAACAGCAAGCCACCCAACTAACCCACGAACAAACACTGACCGACCCCGAACCAACAACCCCCGAGCCAACCCCCTTACCGAACTAACCCCCGAGCCCACCCCCGAACCAAACCAGCCCCTCAAGCCCGAACAAACCAACCCCTCAAGCAACCACCAAGCCAACCCCCGAAACGAACTTAACCCCCGAGCCAAACCCCGAACAAACCAACCCCTCAAACAACCCCCAAGCCAACCCCCGAACCGAAACCCCCGAACAAACCAACCCCTCAAACAACCCCCAAGCCAACCCCCGAACCGAACTTAACCCCGAGCCAACCCCCGAACAAACCAACCCCTC